ACTGTATCTCGTTGCTACACTATTCCTTTGAGAATACAGTGTATATTGCTACACTATATTTCATTGACTATATATACCACATTTTCTTTATCCATTCATCTATTGAAAGACACCTGGGTTGGTTCCATAGTTTAGCTATTGTGAATTGAGCTGCTATAAACATTGATGTGGCTGCATTACTCTAATATGCTGATTTTAAGTCCTTTGGGTATAGACTGAGGAGTGCTGGGTCAAATGGTGGTTCCATTCCAAGTTTTCTGAGGAATCTCCATACTGCTTTCCATAGTAGTTGCACCAATTTGGTTGTTTTAGCCAAATTTACAGTGAGAATTAGGAACAGAAAGCATATCATAGAAATTTGAAAAACTTGCAGTTTGTCAAGAAAAGGAACTTATTTAAAACCACTGCAAGGAGGGCATGGTTTCTAAAAAGATCAGAGGCATTAAAAAGAGGCCAAGTAATCTGCACTGAGAGACCAGGAAAGATAGTTTAAGGTCATCTCAGAAAGTGGCAAGGCCGTGGCATGTTGTAAAAGTAATCTCTTTCAAAGACTTTCCCTTGAGAAGACAGCCCCAGGGTGCCCTGCTTGCACATGGCCACCTAAAAATCATTTTCCTGGGATTCATTTCTCCATGTTCTGCTGTCAAAGTCCTCAGTGGCCACTGTTAAAGTGGGCCTCACCCCTGCTCCAGACAGTGGTGGACTGTGGCATCATCCACGTAACGCTGGTCTTTCACACATGCAGAATGCAAGGGTGGGGTCATGGAGTCTTCCACCAAGATTTAAGAGAAAGGATAGGCAAAACAGGGCAGCGTCCAAGGGCTGCAAATAGCCTGTGATAGGGCAATGCGTGAAGCTGTGTGTGCAGCCAAGCTGCAATGGAAACCCTGGGAAGTTGGAGATGTCAGGAGACTGCAATGCCTGCCATGGGAAGATGCAGGCAATGAGCAGAGTCAGCCCAACAGAGAGGCCATGTAGGCTGCTGCCAGCAAGGCCATTGGGTGGGCTGCCCAAGCCCAGCGGAGCTAACCTCATGCCGACATGCTCCCCAGATACTGAGTGCAGGACTAGAGCATTCAATGGTTGCCCAGCTGGGATTCAGTCTTGCTTGGCTCCAATCCCTCCTGTCTATGCTCCTCTTCCTCCTTTTTGGAATGTGTATCTTGTGCCATTGTATCTTGGAGTAATGTAACTTGCTCTTTCAATTTTTATAGGGTTTCTCAGCAAGAGTTTGCCTTGAGTCTCAGAGGAAACTCTGAACATGGGCTTTCTGGCAGTGCTGAACTATTATGACGGTGGAGGCTCCTAGAGATGGACACGGTGCATCCTGCATTGTGGGATGAATATGAGCTAGTGGGGGCCAGAGGCAAATGTTAGAGTTTGGATCTTAAATGTCCCCCCAGTGCTTATTACCAGAGTGCTAGGTCAGAAGCCTCACTCCAGAGTTCCCAGCAAACCAGGTCCTACCACTTGCCACAAAAATGAAACAGAAAAGGTAGTGGTGAAAAGAACTTTAAACAATATGGTTAGTGTGGCTTAGAGATGGGGTATCCCCCCAAAGCTCATGTGTGGGACAAGGCAAGAATTTTCAGAGGTGAAATGATTAAAGTATGAACAAAACTTAATCAGTGGGTCAATCCACATCAGTTACCACCCACTTAATCCACATCAATGGTAACCGTAGGCAGGTAGTGTTTGGCTGGAGGAGAGAGGTCACTGGGGGTGTGCCTTTGGAATATACATTTTGTCCCTGGTGAGGGGAGCTCTCTCTGCTTCCTGGCCACCATGTCCTGAGCTGCTTTCTTCTGCCACGTCCTTCTGCCATGATGGTCTGCCTCACCTTGGGCCCAGGGCTATGGAGCCAGTGGCCTGAACCTAACTGTGAGCCAAAATAAAGTTTTCCTCCTCTAAGTTGTTCTTGTTGGGTGCCGTCCCCGACCAGCAGCTAAACTAAGGGTCGCTTGAGTGGATTTCCTAAGGTATCAAATAAAACACAGACACACACTTTACCTTTAATTCAAGCCCCAGGACGACTCCTGTGCCCTCGGCCTCAAGCTCCCCAAATGGGAGAGCAAGCAATGTCACGAGAGGCTGTTGAGAGAGAGAGTGGTATTTTATTCAGGGGACTCTCATTCTTTAGAAATTTCCAACCAGTAAAGATCAAGAGGGGTGGGGTAGGAAGGAACGCCCATGCATGAAGACACATTTGGTGACATCTGTACAACTTTCAAGATGGGGGCCACCAGCTATCGCCACTTTGAAGTGAGTGGCCAGATCATGGGAAGTGACCGACAGAGCCTCACCAATCAGGAAAGGAAAATACTGGTCACATGACGTGGCGGCCTCCCACAGTTGGGTCTTTGGGTCCAAACAATGCAAAACTGACTAAAACATTGGCCACATCGGAAAGGCAAAGTGAAACCAAGTGTCTCGGCCCTGTCTTCAGGGTGTCGGCGGGAGCTTTAGGTTTAACAGATGAGGAATTGGGGCCGAGGGTGAGAAGCATGCCTCATTAAACAGTCTTGGTCAGTTGGCCTTGGTTGATGATCCTCTCAGTGCTGGTTGTGTGAGGAGAGGTGGCTCCAGAGTTCTTTATCACTTGAAGGGGACAACATCCACTTGGCAGTCAAGATGTTCATCTATCAGGCCTGCGACCCTGGACGTGGGGATGGCTGGAGACCTCAGGATCCCAGGGGAGTAAGATGGTTCTGGTGAGCTCAGGGCTATGACCTTGCACTATTAGTGTCTAGATGAATGTGCCTTAAAGGCCCAACATGGCTACGTGCAGAGCCGAGCAGGGCCCCGGCACGAGGTTTAAGGTCATAAAGGATTCAGGGACAAGATGAAGGCAGAGATGCTGAGCTTAGTCCTGCTTTCAGCTCCCCGGGGGGCACTTGTGGGTCTAAGTAGGCCCTGCTTCTAGCAAGGGCAGCCTTTCTGAGTCCCCACTGAGGCTCCTGGTCTGAAGGCCCAGCCTCCAGCTTGTGCTATTGGGAGGTGGTGGGGCCTTCAGGAGGTGGCCCAGTGGAAGGAAGTGGGCCACTGGGGCCCCTTCCCCTCTCCTTTGCTCCCCCTGCCATTCGTTGAGCAGCCCTGCTCCACCAGGCCCTTGCCAGCTAGCGGGACGCGCGGCCTTGCCACAGCCCGATCGAGGGAGCCAGCTGACAGGGACCGAAAACCCCGGAGACCACGTCTTCTCCTCAGTAGTTGTTCATCTCAGTTTTTGTCACAGAAGACAAAAAGGCAAAGGTGATTAGCTGGGTGTGGTCAGAGCACACCTGTAGTACCAGCGGCTCAGGAGCCTGCGGAAGGAGGATCTCAAGTTCAAGGCCAGCCTCAGCAACTCAGGGGGACTCTTGGACGTAGCTCAGTGGGTGCCACAAATTCAATTCCCACTACCATGAATAAAATAAAGGCAGGGGAAGATGGTCAAAGACCCCAACCACACAGGGTTGCCACCGAGGAACGACTGGAGGAGTAATGGGGTGAATCGTGCTGATTGTTGTAATTGGAGAGAATCTTCCCAACAGAAGCAACAGTAAGTGCTCAGATCTTGAAAAGGGGCCATATTGGTGTTCTGAATTTCCTAGTGCCCACGTTTTTAAAACATCAAAGAACAGGGGAAGGATATTTTATTTAATCTAATGTATCTGAAATATTTCAAAATGTAACCAACATAAAAACTACTAATGAGATATCTTTCATCCTTTTTATACTAATTATTTGAAATCCAGTGTGCATTTTACACTTGCAGCACTTCTCCACTCAGACTAGTCACGTTCAGATGCTCAATGGTCACGTGTAGCTGTGGCGACCGTCCTGGACGACACAAGTCCACGTGCCCCCAGGTGTCCCACAGTATCCTCTATGGTGCGCATACTGCACACTCTCCCGCAGAGTTACATGGACACCACCCCCGGGGTCACACGTTTGGTCAGTGGTCACGTTCCTCAGGTTCTTTCAACGTTCTCTGAGCCGTTTTAAAAACTTTCACATATTAATACATTTGAAGTAAACAGGAAGATCCATTTTGTAGAGAGAATGTCTCAAATTTGGGATGCTTTGAAGTAGAGCCCAAGAATTGGACGATAAGTTGAAAATGACTGTGAGACCGATGGGAGCCAAGAATGAGTCCCCCAGGTTGGACTGAGCCACAGGAGGGATGGAGTGCCGTCCTCCAGGGGGAGGCTCTGAGAAACCAGGAGAGCTAAGAAAACCGGGAACTCTGTTTCGGACATGATGAGTTTGCAAAGTTTTTAACATCCAAATGGAAATATCAAGTCGGTGACTGAACATGAATCTGAAGCTCAGATGAAAATTTCTATTCAAAACAAAATTGGAGACAGGGTGGGTTGTGTGCTTCTGCAGTCCCAACTACTCAGGAGGCTGAGGCAGGAGGATTGCTTGAGTCCAGGAGTTGAGGCCAGCCTGGGCAACAACAGCAAGACCCCATCTCATAAAAAAAATAAACAAACAGCAATAACAAAAACACGTAGACTCGGGAGTCTTCAGCATACGCTGGTGTATCTCACGTAAGAAATGTAGGTAGAAAAAGAAGAAGAAGAATCCAAGGACTGAGCCTTAGAACACTCCAATATTTAGAGGTCATAAAAAAAAAAAAAAAAGCCGGGGGATCCAGCAAAGGAAAACAGAAAGTGGCCAGTAAAAGAAAACAACAAGACAGCGTGTCTCAGAAGCTGGGTGAAAAGGGTTTACAGGATAACCAGACGCTGATGCTGAGGACAGAGAACTGGGTTCAGCAGAGTAAAGGTCTTCGTCAGAGCCTTGTTGGGCAACATCAGGGGAGTCCTAGCTAAATCCTGTTTGCAGACCATCCAAGAGACAATGGAAAACTTGAGATGGTGTGAGGTGGGCAATTCTTTGAAGAATGTGCTGTAAAGAGGAGCCAAGCAAGCCCTATGCAGTCACTGCGGAGGCTGTGTATGAAGTCAAGAGCTTTATTTTTGTAATGAGAAAAAAAAAGAAAGGACAGCCTGTTTTCTGATGATTCCAAGGACCAGTTCAAATGGAAAAATCACTCAGAATCTCTGTGGGGAGGCAGAGGTTGGTAGAAACCTGCACAGCAGAGAGGGCATCCATCCACAGGACTGGGAGGAGTCAGATGTTTGGCCCGGGTGCAGTCGGGCAGGGAATGTGCCGGGAGTTCCAGGAGTGCTCTTTTAAATAGGATGAGTCTACGATGCAGAGAAGACCCTGTTAGTGACAAAGAGCAGAGTAGGTGCAATGCTGTGAGTCAACAATGGGAGAGAGCAGACCTGTGGAATAGCCAGACGACTGCAGGGAGTTCCAGGTGGGCTCTGCACTCCTGAAGGTGCAAGGGCAGGGGGTCTAGCCTGCGTTAGGGGACCAAAGTCAAGCCAGGTTTGGGGCCTCAGAGAAGGGAAGTAGACCTGGTCTCTTTACCCTGGGTGGGCCCTCAAGCCCCCCCCCCCAGGAACTCCTGTGTGCTGCACGTTCCATTCTAAGGCGTTGCCCGGTGACGGCTGGAGTTCTTGACTATTAGCTCCCCTCAGGGTGGTGGGGCACTGGGCACTGCTGGCCGTTCTGCAGGATGACCAAGAAACAGTTTTTCTGCACACGAATTTGGGTTCGGATGCACCATTATTTTGTGAGGCTGTGTCAGCGCCTCCGAAAATTCTGGAAGGTCACTATCAAGGGCTATTTTGCTGAGGAGGAGGAAGAAGTGCACATGTCTTCAGCTGAGAGTATTTTTCACAAAGAAAAAATCCTGGCACTTGGCAACATCTTGAAGAATCAGCTTCTACCCTTTGAAACGAGAGCCCAGGCTGCCCAGAAAATTGGGCTGCTGGCTTTCACAGGTATGATTTAAATAGCTGCGAAAGAGGCGTCTTACAGTCTTCTTGTTTGTGAGAACACTGTCATTTGGTGACTTCTTCAGCTGAGGCAGGAGGTTCAAAGCCAGTCTGCAGCTTAGCGAGATGCTGAGCAATTAGCAAGACCCTGTCTTTAAATTAAAAAAAAAATAAAAAATAAAAAATGGCTGAGAATGTGCTGAGTGGTTAAGTGCCCTGGGTTCCATCCCTGGCACCAAAAAAGAAAAAAAAGAAAAGAAAATTAAAACAAATTTAAAAAAAAGTAACATTTCCTTTGATAGAATTGTTAGGGGTTTTTTTTGGTTTTGCTTTGTTTTTTTGTCTTTGAACCACTATAGTTAGAACTAATTATTTTCTCCTTAGTGATCTCTAACAGTGGATCCAGTGGGGCATGGTGGCACACACACCTGTAATCCCAGCAACTCAAAAAAAAAAACAAAAAACCCAAAACTCATGAGAACCCTTCTCCTCCCAGTCAGCTCCCAGCTTTGTTGCTTTGTGGTGGTTTCTCTTTGCTCCAATGAGAAACTAAGACTCCAGAATGTTAGTAGCTAAAACCCTCATGGAAATGCAAATGCTTGTTTTACAGGTGGACCCGCAGCTGGGAGATTTGCAGCTGAGTACATGAAAGAAATAGCTAACTTGCTGCAAAATGAGGAGGTGTCACCAAAGGTGAAGGTTCTGCTGCTCCAGAGCGTGGCATGTTGGTGCTACTTAAACCCTGTCAGCCAGAGAAAAGCCAGACGCCTGAAATTTATTCCCATTCTCACTCAGTTTTTGGAACACCATCTTCAGTCTACTGTCAAAAGTGAAATCAATAGTGACCTCCTTGTTAAATTTTGGACGTGTTATGCTCTGTCTGTCATGACGTGCAATAACTCCGCATTCATGAAGGAGCTTAAAGACTACAGTAGTCTAAGATGTAATCTGCAACTGTTGGCTACAGAGAATTGGTCTGGATGGCCTGAGAATTTTGCAGAAGTGCTGTATTTCCTAATAGGTTTTCACAGGAATTGATTTCTCTAAACTCAGTTACATGACGCAGCTATCTGTGCCATCGTACTACCCTGGAAACCTTAATAAAAGTCGATACATTATTCTTCAGCATTGTCTTTTGTAGTTACCCAGTTCTACATAAATTTTTATACTATTAGTTAAACATATTGATGAAACTTCAGAAAAGGAAATACTGATTAAAATGACCTTGTAGATCGGGCTCTTTGAGCTTGTGCATGAGTGTACCCTCTCTCATTAGGAAATAAAGATGTTAAAACGTGAAGTTGGATATGATGGGGAGTATACAGTTAGAAAATTGTAAAGCTGGATACAATCTTTGTCATCTATTAAGCAAAGGCCTGTGATAGCCAATGTCCACCATTAAATCATGAAACTTTACCTTCTTATACAACAATTTGAAGCTGATTAAGAGCATAAATTCATAACTGATTTCTCTCTGAGGGGGAAAAAATGATGCTGGGTTGTCATAATACTAGGTGTTCTGTGGTAATAAATTTATTGGAAGTAAAAAAATACCCCTTAAAAATTAAATGAGAAACATTGGTTATGTATGTGATAGGAACAGTGGTTTATTGGAGGTCTTAGATCACATTAAGGGCTGGGGGAGTGGTTTCACAGTGAGCCCATGCACAAGGCCCTGGGTTCCATTTCCAGCCCCACAAATGAAAGATGACATCAAGAAAAGCACCCACACTACCAAATCCTCAGCCGTCATGCCCTGTAGTGGGCACTGTGGCCTGCCAGGTCCTTTCAGGCTGTTGCAATACAGGGTTTTCAGATGCAGTGTTTGGGGCTAGGGTGGTTTTCTGGCTACCAGAGTTGATCTTGCTGCACAGAAGGCCTCTGGAAGTGTGGAGAACTGAGCGGCCTTCAACTCCTTTGGCAGGCCTCTGGGTTCCGTCAAGAGCGTTATCAGGCACCCACAGGCAAACCAAACTTAGGGCGACTCCAGGCTTCTTAGAAAGATGTTCACTCACCCTAGTCTATATAAAAAACACCAGCCTCATCAAATGTTATTACAAAAAAATATTATGGCTGGAAATATAGCTCAGTGGTAGAATATGTACTTAGAATTTGGAAGGTCCTGGATTAATCTAGCACAACCAAAAAAAAAAAAATATATATATATATATATACACACACACACATATACATGCATATATACACATTTAATGTGCCTACTTGTTTTCCACAATACCTGCCTGTAGCTTAACTTGCAGCTCTCATGGGTTGAAGTAAGTACTGCCAGCCTGAGCTGTGCTGTAGTGTTGGGCATCCATCTTTGATGGGTTATAAAAAACCTCACTTGAACTTACAGGAGGAAGGTTGGGAGGGAGGTGAAGCTCATCATTTGGAGGATGTCCCAGGAAACTTTCTCAAATCTTAGAGTGAAGAAAAGCTGTCCTCTGCTATGCAGCAAGTGTTTTTGCCCTTTATGGATTTTGTGAATTGTGTACAGCATGTTTCTCAAGCTTGAATTCAGTTCACAGAAGTAGACTAAGGGTTGAAAATCAAAAGTTCGACTCAGAGACTGGATCACTGTCAAGAGTCACTTTTAACGCTTTTGAAATGTTTATTTTCTCCAAGTAATACACAGCTTAAAAAGTCAAATGCAAGGCCTCTAGAGTAAGATAGTCCCCTCCTCATGCACACTTCCAAAGGTAACCATTTGAATTCTTTCAGTTGTTTCTTCTCTATTTACCTCCATAGTTCTAAATAATCCACACACACTGCTAATGATTTGCTTCTCAATTTTAGGCATTCTTTTTACTTCACAGGACAGAGGAGACATAACACTCCCCTTGCCTACCTCCACGTTTCCCCTTCCTCTCAGTATAATCCACACAATGGTGATTACTTCACTGTTTCCTGGCTGTCACATGGTGTAGTGTGACTCCATTTCATTCCTTGCACAATCGTGTTCCCTGGAGTTGCTTCCCACTTTCAGTTTCTGGACACCTGTCACGGAGTCGCTCCCACTTGCCTGTTGAATCCCTCTCCATACTCCTGTACAACACACGGGGATTTATCAGTCCTTTTCTTTTCCTTTTTGCAGTACTGGGGGTTGAACCCAGGAGGACACTTCACCTCAAGACAACACCCCCGTCTAGTATTTTTTTTTTTTTTTTTTGCTCTGAGACAGTTGCTGAGGCTGCCCTGGAACTTGCAGACTTCCTGTCTCAGCCTCCCAAGTCACTGGAGTGACAGGTATGGCCTGCTGTGTTGGGAGACCAACCTCGCATGTGATTAAGTTAGCTCCCCTGCTGGGCAATGTGGCTACCCATGCTGCTAGTCTGTCCCATTCTTCTAGGGTTCGAGTGACTGTGTCTTGCTACAGCCCCATGGGTGGAGCTATGCTCACCTGTTCCTATGTAATATAACCCCTTGCCCTGTTTAGGATAGAATCTTCCATGGAAGTGCCTTGTGTGTGTCCCCTCCTCTTACTGTGCCCTTGGGTGTGGCCTACCCAGGTGTCAGTCAACCTGCTGACAGTGGACATCATGAAGATAGACTCAGCCCCTGAAACCTGACCCCTTACCTCATTTGAATAGCTTCTCCTCAATAAAAGGGGTCAGCACACGCTCTCCCTCTCTCTCCCAGCAGACCCTTAAGGTCAGAGGAGCCATCACAGCGACCCCAATGAAAAAGGTATTTGTGTCTCTTGTGTGGTTATTTTGACAGTTAGCCCAGTTGACCTGAGCCTTTTAGTCACGAGAACAGAAACCCGGCACTGCTGGTTTCTTTTTTTTTTAAAGAGAGATGAGAGAGAGAGAGAGAGAGGGAATTTTAATATTTATTTTTTAGTTTTCAGCAGACACAACATCTTTCTTTGTATGTGGTGCTGAGGATCGAACTCGGGCCGCACGCATGCCAGGCGAGCGCGCTACCGCTTGAGCCACATCCCCAGGCCCTGCTGGTTTCTTTTTGAAGTCAGCCCCCCATTACAGAGTCCAGCATCCTCTACCGCAGATTTAGTTGGCCACACAGCTACAAATATTACTTCCAGGAACCCCACCACTCCTCCAATGTTGGATCCTGTTTCCTGTACACTCTCTTGTCTTTCCATGGCTCATTCTCATGTTAGAATTTGCAGATTTTCCAGTACTTCCCTAAGGTTGAATGGGAGGTAAAAGTTTTGGGAATTTATAGGCCCAATCTTCACTTGATGGATAATTTCACTTTAATCTGTGTCTGAATCAAGAGGAGCAGAAGAAAATAGCAATGCAGCCCTCACACTCCGCGGGAAGAAGGGGAATAATGAGGTGAAGATACCGAGTTTATGCTTCCCCAAGTCACCAATCAGGTGAGTCTCTCCATGCTACTGAAACCAGGAGTGTCACAGCTACAGAGCTCCCTACTTCTGAAAGAAAACATTAGATATGGAACAGCATATGTGCCTTCAATAAAAAATGCAAAAACTAGTGAGAGAAAAAAAGCTGCTGCCTGTCTTTCCAAACATTGTCAGTCTACAAGGGTACATATAACCCCTTTTCAGTCCTTTTTAACACACAGTAGCATTCCACACAGATATTCAATTTGGCCTGCTGCTTCTGAGTATCCCACTATACAACTGGGGTATATAACCACCCCAATAGTGATGGAAATTGAGGTTTTTCCTAGTCTTTGGTAGTTCCAAATTGTAACGAATAACCTGAAAAGTCATTCACCTTAGTGTATCTGCAGAATACATTGCTAGAAATGAAATTGCCTACCAATTCTTATGTTTTGTTTTATTCTGTTCCCTGCAGTGTTACTTTTTTTTTTTCATGTGTTGGCTCCAGGTTTTCAATATGGGATTGTCTTTTATGGTTTCTAGTCATTTTAATGGGTGTAAGTTGAAAACCAACAGCTGTGCCCCACTGACACATTTAACCAGAGACTGCTGAAGGTCTGTATTCTGACAAAGCTCCGGGAAGCTCTGGCCAACATCTTATGTAGAGTGACTCTGAGGCTGTCTAGCCATAATATTTTATTCAGATTCCTTTTTTGGTCTCTGGTACTCCTTTAAGATGAATAATTCAGAGTTGGGCCCTGAAGCATTTTTATACTAAGCCTTGAATTTAAAAACCATTGGCCAAAACCTTTGCAAATTCTCTGCTTTCCTTTCAAAATTCATGTCTCCCCAGCATTCGGCTTTTCCCAGAAGGAATTTTACTTGGGAGGTGACCTCAGGAACTAGCACTAAGAGAGGGAGAGGCCGATAGAAAATGTTATCAATAAAGTTACCGGGCTGGAATGTAGCTCAGTGGCAAAGCGTCTGCCTTGCATTTGCAAAGCCTTGGGTTCGACTCCCAGTTCCAAAAAAGACAAAAAAAAAAGACCCCCCCCCCCCAAAAAAAAATAGAAAGTTACCACTACAGGGAAGTGCAATGCTTGATCCTGCTGGGGAACCATTCTGGTCCATGTGCCACGCACACCTCAGTCATCCCACACGGAGGACACTGCAGCACAGGTATTTAAACACACCCATTTGTTGTTGGTTGATCTATTAGGAAAACCCAAAACTCAACTGAGATATCTTCAAAGGAGTTTTCTAGACAAAGCTGAAAGGGCCTTAAGGCAGTAGACATTGCTTTGGGGCTCACTAGGTTCCATTTTTCCTGTTAACATTTCCAATTTCATTTGTCCATGGTGCAGAATCTTAAGAAAACTGTCAATCAACCCAAGAGCGGTATCCTAAGCCAGGATATGCCAATCTTAGCATTTTCACCCTTACCCTAACTAGAGTATCTTAATTTATTTTAAAAAAAAAAGTAATTTTCCTCTACTCTAGTGCTCTCTGGGCTAGTGGCCCACACCTAACACACAGTAACCCTAACCCAGCAACCACTGGCCTCATGTAGCTGCTAAAACATAAAATGAAAACTTCCACTTATTCACTGACCACATTTCAAGTGTCAGTAGCTACTGGCTACCAAAGTGGACAGCATAGATACTCCTACTATTCCAGAAAGTTCTACTTGGATGAAATTCTGTTAATAATAGCTTCCATTTTCTAAGCCCTTAGTTCAAGCACTATAATAGAGATCTTACTCCTCACAATAACACTGAGGTACGCTTTATCTCAATATTGGAAATAAGTCCTATAAAGAAACTTACCTAGAACAATTATTTGAAGTTTGACATTGCTCTTTATTGTCAATTTATACAAGACTACTTTCAGCTCCAATGCTGTGTATTTAGTACTGGTTCTTTATTTTTTCTTCATTCAAAAAAATGGTATACGTGGAAAATTCATCATTAATATCAACCCATGCCTCTTCATATTTATAGACTTCACACTATACTAGTATGTGAAACTCTCGTCACTCCACTGGACTTTCAACTGATCCCCCTGCACACACTTTGATTCCAAGAGCAATGTGATCACACCAGCCAGTCGAGCCTTTACTCAGCTAGTCAGATCCACCTGGCAAACAAATACTATTTGTTTTTTTCAAAAACATTATTTTTTTTTCCCTACAAATATCTTGTGCTACATTCCAAAACTCTAAAAATATCTGAGGTACTGAGGTTGTGGCTCAGTGGTAGATTACTTGCCCAGCAGAGGTGGGGCACTGGGTTCCATCCTCTGAACCACATAAAGATAAATAGATAAAGGTATTGTGTCCATTTACAGCTAACTGAGGGAAAAAAAAGAATTTCTGAGTCTGGATGTGGAGATCAATAGTGCTTACAGTGAACCTGAGGTACAATCAGGGTTGGGAGTTAAGACCTCGGTTATCTGTTTAAACAGGGATAAATTGGTTTTCTCCCAAGATGGCAGAAGAATAGAAAGCAAACAATAAGCCAGGCATGGTGGTACACTCTTATAATCCCAGCAAAATGGGAGGCTGAGGCAGAAGGACAGCAAGTTTGAGGCCAGCCTCAGCAACTTTGTGAAACTCTGTCTCAAAGAATATAAAGGGCTGGGATGTAGCTCAGTGTAGAGCATGTGCCTGGCATGTGCAAAGCCCTGGCTTAGATCCCCAGTACCACAAGCATAAAAGAGACATTTTCTATAGACACATCATCTTCGGACACATACAAAGTTCAATAGGAAACCAAAGTTTATTTATCATATATACACAGGTCATATCTGACAACTGAGAAAATGATGTGCTAATTACATAAAATATCATAGATTAAAAATACACAGTATTTGTATTTAATACAATAATAGTGTCCCAGGATTCAAACATGGAAGTTTGATTCTAGCTTTTGAATTATGTAGTAACTCTGCTACAAAGAACTATAGTGAGGTAAACTTTGGCAGCATATTTCTCAACAATCAAATGTTACTGAATATCATCTCATGGTTCTGCATCTGTAGAGGAAGGTGCAGCTCCTTCAGTACATGCGCCAGGAGTTTCTGAGTCTTCTACTTCAGAAATCTCACCAGTTTCCTCTTCTGAATCAAATTCCTGACTGTCCGGTGATTCAAAGTTATCCAGAGGTTCATTACTCAGTCTCTAAGGAATAAACCAGTAATTTGTTGTAAAAACTTTAGAATTCAAGTCATTATCAGTATGCTGACACAGCTGACCCTCAATGTTATATAAGATTGCTTTCATCTTGTCCTTCAATAAATTCACTTATAGGCAGTGTAATATCAGTCTCCACCAAGCTAGTTCATGTTTCTGCAAAATCACAATGTTTAATAATTTGCCAATTTTTAAAATTCTTTTCTATATTTTTCTTTCTCCACTTTTTTTTTACTGGTGCAATGCAGTTGTACGTATGGTGGGATATTTATTGTTCCATATTTGTACATGCACACAATATAATACCACAACTTGGCCAGTATCCCTCCCAGCACCTCCCCCTCCCTCTCTGACCCCTTTCCTCTGCTCTACTGATCTCTATTTGCTTTTCACGCGGTCACCCCACCTTTCTTTTCCTTCTTCCTCCCTAGCTTCCATGTGACAGAAAATATTCACCCAACCTTTGACTTTCTGATTTTGTCTTCTTTTGCTTAACATAATGGTTCCATCCATTTTCCTGAAGATGACATAATTTCATTTTTCTTTACAGCTGAATAAGACTCCATTGTGTATGCAGACCCACATTTTCTTTATCCATTCATCTACTGAAGGGCATCTGGGCTGATTTCATAATTTGACTATTGTGAATTGTGCTGCTATAAACACTGAAGTGGCTGTGTTGCTATAGTGTGCCGCTCTTAGTTCTCTGGGATAAATACTAACGAGTGGGACAGCTAGGTCTTGTGATTCCATGCCTAGGCTTTTGAAGAACCTCGATACTGATTTCCACAGGGGTTGTACTAATTTACAAAACCACCAACAGTGTCAAAGTGGACTGAACTGTTTTGAAAGCACAATTTAAACTGGTACTCAGGAGCCAGCATGGAACAATACTTTAAGGCAGTTAAGAGAGACAAAGACGTCCTGAGCCCACTATTGCTTTAACTCTTCAGGAAAACAGACGATTCTCCATTAGGTGAACTTTAAATTACCTACCTCTATTAACTCTGCCATATACTGTACATGCTCTGCTACTTCTGCCAATGCTTTATTCTCCTTTTTCAGTTGGGCAATTTCATTGTCCTTTTGTTCGATTTCTTTATGAAGCTATATAACAAATAAAAGTTCAGTATTTCAGAAATTTACTGTGTAACAAATTATATACCTCCAAGTAAAACTGACACATGAAGCATAAAGTTGGTTCTCAAGAGATTCATTTTGTGTGAAAATTTAAATAAAGTTCAATATTTCATAGATTTACTGTGAAACCAATTATATGCCTTGAAGTAAAACTGACAGACACGTGTAGCATAAAGTTGGTTCTCAAGAGGATTCATTTTGTCTGACAATTCTGGTACCAGAGCTGCCTCTCTAGTCAAACTTTCTCAGGCCAAGCTAGTTTATGTTGGTCCCGATAAATGTGCTACACAGCAAAAGGTAAACAATCCTGGAAAATTAAAAAATCATACTTAGCACATACTTTCTCGTTTTCTTTAAGTGCTTCATAGAGAGCTTTTCTCCGTTTTTCTGCCACTTCTTTCCAATACTGAGAGGATGGGTTTTCTGAAACAAATGTTTTATATACAACTTTAAAAACCATTACTTAAAAACTTACAGAATAAACTCAATCTAACAATTTAAGTTTTATTTTCCCCAACGTTTCAAGGATTCATTTCAGTCATTCAGAGGAATTACAACAGAAACCAATGAACACACATATATCACCTAGGTTATTCTACATGTCTACGACATTTGTGTTTGGGAATTTTTATTTGGTTTTGTGGTTGTTACTGGCACCAGGGATTGAACCTGCAGCCTCCCCGTGCTAAGCACATGCCCCACCACTGACCTATACACCTCCAGCCCTGACATCCACATTTTTGAAAAGTCCACATCAGTTATTTTGCACACTTTTTAAAGTTTCAAATTTGTTTCCATGATCTCATTCACGTTAAACGTTTTCTTGGCAGGAATACTGCGTTGGTATGCTGTACCTCCAGAACCATCAGGAAGCACATACCAATCTGTTACAAAATGGGAGATGTTAAACTTTTTTTTAAATGTGGTACCATATACACAATAAGTTTTTAAATTTTTTTTTATTATTTTTTATTATATTATTATTTTTTATTATTATTATTTGTGGTGCTGGGGATTGAACCCAGGGCCTTATACATGCTAGACAAACACTCTACCAACTGAGCTATACCCCCAGCCCCGAGATGTTAAATTTGATTGTGTGTGGGCTGGGGCTGCAGCTCAGTGGCAGAGCACTTGCCTCGTGTTATCAGGCACTGGGTTCCATCCTTAGCACCACATAAAAATAAACAAATAAAATAAAGGCATTCTGTTCATCTACAACTACAAAAAAAATTTTTTGAAAATTTGATCGTGTGAGTAAGGTGCCATCTCCCGGATTTCTCCCTTGTAAAGATGCCTTTTCCCCTTAATTAATAAGTAATCTGTACAGGAATGTTTTTGAGTCTGTGTTAATAATACTCTATTCTCCAAATACTTTGCATCCAATTTCAAAGTCCACTGATATTTCTTGCTCATGTCTATTATTTCCACAGTGGACAAAAAGTGATTTATATAATTCCTTCTACATGCCATTATTCTGTAAAAAAAAAAAACTTCCTTACCACAATTTAAAAGAAAATCTACCGGTATAGAATCATGTCCTTTTTTATTCAATGCTTTATAATCCATTCTTGTCATTATCCATTTTGATGCTCAAATTTTTACAACTTAGTCCACTAAAGTTGATTCCTGTGTTCTTTTAACATGCCCATCAGCTTTTGAGTACTTTCCTATTTTCTGACACAAGATATTCCAGAATCACTCTGTAATAGCCTTCCTACTGTCCTGGAATCAGCTATTTCTCCGAGAAGCTTTAATGGAGAATAATGTCCACAACCAGCAACTGGATGCCCAGTATGCACCAAGCTACTGGGGGTCATTTGTTTCTAAGCTCTTTCGGTGGCAGAGCCACTAATGGTCCAACTCCAAGTCAACAGTTCTTCCTCTTCTTCTCCATTCCACACTTGTCCTTCCATTCACCACATTATGATCCTGCCTCCTAACCTCACTCATTTCCTCCATCCTAAAACACATACAAATTTTTTCCAAAATGACTATGCCAATACCACTGCCAACAACAAATGTAATAAAGTTCAGGGTTTCTTTGCAGTTCTTGCAATTCTTATAATACATCCCAGAGAGAATCTGTGGAAATTTTCTTCATCTATGGCTATGTTAGCAACACGATATATAGGTGAATTGTTTTGGTGCTTTCATATTTTCTTACCAATCCTTAATTTTAACTGAATCAGAAATATCACAAATATTGTCTTGTTTATTCTATAGTACTATTAACGAGCTTCTTTATTTCCATTCAGTTGACCTTTCCTAACTTTACCTAGTCAAATCTTATCTGCTACATTTTTCCTTACTGTCTTCCACCAACCCAGAATGAGCCCCTGGTCACTGTGACCTTGAGCAAGCCAATTTACTCCTCTTGGCCTCAACTTCTCATCAAGGTGAAATCCAATCACCTGTGATTAGAAGTAAAGACCTCAGTCAGGCACTGCACCACACCACTGTAACCCCAACAACTTGGGAAGCTGAGGCAGGAGGATCAAAAGTTTAAAGACAGCATCAGCAATATAGAGACACTAATTCAAAGTAAAAAATAAAAAAGAACTGGGGACGTACCTCAGCAGTGAAATACCTCTGGGGTTCAACCCCAGTGTCACAGGGGAAAAAAGCAAAAAACAAAAACCTCCCACAACGCGAACCAAACATCACAGCGCATGGTGCATTCCTGTGACCCTACCCCTACAGAGGCTGAGGCTGGAAAATCACTTGAGCTCAGGCGTCCGAGACCAGCCTAGGCAACATAGTGAGACCCCATGCCAAAAAAAAAAGGAAAAAAAGACATCACTAACTTCCTCCTCTGATTTGACCACCATTCTATTAAAAACCAGTGCTTATTACAAAACATTTTTCATTCACTTTCTTCCTTTTCTTCAACCACACTCCTAATGACAGTTACTTAATATTCTTGTGGAATATTCAAATTTCTTTCAGTCAAATTCATCCTGTAAATATTTTTCTTCAAAAACACCCATTTCCAAATCTCACAAAGCCTGTGGCATTCTACTGGAAGACATCCCATATTATTTACTGCCTCCTTCCTTAATATCTCTTCCACATTTGGATCTTGCCAAATACATCTGTCCAATACTATTTACAATCATAAGAAATCTTAAATTGTCAAAGACAAACAAGTAAGGCCAGGCGCTTGCCACATTCCTGTAATCCCAGAGGCTCAGGAGGCTGAGACAGGAGGATTGAGAGTTCAAAGCCAGCCTCAGCAAAAGTGAGGCGCTAAGCAACTCAGTGAAACTTTTGTCTCTAAATAAAATACAAAATAGTGCTGGGGATGTGGCTCAGTGGTCAAGTGCCCCTGAGTTCAATCCCCGGTACCCCGCATACCCCCAAGAAAGACAAACAAGTAAAATATCTAATAGTATCCCTATTAAAAAGCGATCGGCAGAATCCATAACAGGATTAACAAATATTATTTACCTTATGTTATAAATTTAAGAGAAAGCCGTGTTTTTTCTTTGTTTTACATACCTTTAATCATAAGATCAAATGCTTCTTGGGTGACTCCTCCCAGACTTTTATTTTCACTTGGTTCTGGGTCAATAACACCTCCAGAGCTGGAAGTCTTGGATGTTAACTGGTCATTCCAATGTTTCCTTTTAGATAAGCCTTTAGGCAACTATAATAGAAACATTTATTTATTTTGATTCAATGGACAGGAAAGGTAAGTGGTTTTGTCACTTACCGAATATTTTAAAAAGGGAATTCATACAAGGGCTGCAGGTATAGCTCAGTTGGAGAGTGCTTGCCTTGCATGCACAAGGCCCTGGGTTCAATCCCCCCCCCCAAAAAAAGGGTGGAGGGGGCACTCATACATCTTTGACATCTGTGAATCTTTTTAAAAATTATACAATTCAAAACTTTACCAAAACGTGTAGCACCACTTTAGGAATTTTATTTGCAGTAGCTATTTTGTTGTTCTTTTTAAATATACATGATAGCAGGGTGTATTTTGACATATTATACATACTTGGGGTACAACTCATTCTAATTAGGATCCCACTTGTGGTTGTGCAGCAGCTATTTTGGACTCAACTTGGTCTAAGACAAAGTACTATTATTATGCTAAAATGCTGACTTTAAATTCAGTACCATGAAAAGGCAGTATTCTCTATCTGCAAAAAGCCTAAACACTTATCCATGATTTCATCATTTATTCACAAAGAATGAAAGAACATGACATCTTATTCCCAAGTTATTAAACATTACTCCTATAATTCATAACTTATTACTTCATTCTAATTCTAGTACAGGTATTCATAGCAATTTTCAACTTCTCAAGTTGAACAATTAGAAACCACTCTGGGGAATATGTAATTGTTATATTTCCAAATTTCAAAAATGTATGTGTTTCAGACAAAGAAATCTTGGGAAAGTTTTTAAAGCAGAGGTAGTGTCACCTTTATCCAGACCCCTACTACATACCTCATTTTCTCTTCCAACAAGAGATCCAGCTGCAGAAGGCTGAATCATCTTCAGAGTTCTTCTTGGAACAGGACTATTCTAAAAGTTGAGATAATTGATTATCTAGTTACTGAGTTGCTACATGGTTATTCAGTTATTAAGTTTCTATATAGTCAGTCTTACTATAATGTGAAAAAAAAATCACTGAGCATACTTGCTATATAATTAATATGTTATAAGACATTGGTTTAATCAAATGGAAAGTTTATTTCTCAAGATTAAAACAAAGTTTGAAGAAATTCTCAAGAATGGATATCATCCAAATCAAGTACAAACAAGTAACTTCTTATTTTAACATATAATTCTATTATAATCATTTTGCAACTAATTATATCTATTTAAACAAACATAACAAAATTTCTAAGCTCTGATTAGAAATTCAAACTATAGATGAAAAAATTCCAGTATAATAGGAATATCTATATTCTTTTTAAAAAGTCTTCTAAAAAGAAACTAGAAACTTATAGGTCCTCTACTTCATAAAACTAAACAGCATAACATTTATGGTATGAACACACAAAAGAGATAAGCTGGAGGAAAAGGTTCATTATTCACACTTCTCTAATGAAAAGATTCATCTCAGACCTCCTTTAACTCGTGACTATACCAAAATATTTACCAGTTCACAAAAGGAAGGTAATTTTAAAGAATATATTAAACATGCAGCCCAGAAATATATTAAACATATTTGCAACCATCACCCCTAACCCTAACCCATTCCTTGGAAGACAGCTAAAATGTGAGTGCTTATGGCTGCTAAAATATCCTAAAATGCCATGTTATTGTTTTGGAAAAAATATGGCCTTCCTTATAATATGCAAATACCTTTCTGTATATTTCCTTATCTGAAAGTTCTTTCTACTTTTGCAAAAAATCATTAGTTATATTGCCTCCATGGGATAGCAAACAATGGTGAATACTCAAACAAGTTTAGAAAGAACATGACACCACACCAGCGTGAGAAAGTTACAGACTCCACACTGTACTTCACAAGACCAAGTCCACCTTTCCCACGGTAAAGGTTCTACTGTTGATTATTATCTCACTATTTAACTGAAGGACAAATACCAGCTACTGTGAAAACAAATATTACACCAACATTTCAGTTATAATTTAGATTATAGATTAGTAAACAGTCTCCACGCAAATAAAAGAAAATAATCTTAATAATAGATATTAATTTATTTAAATTATTCATGTTAAAAAGGGTAAAGGAAGTCATTCTATTCTCCCCCCCCCACCCCGCACACACGCGCGTGCACACACACACCATTTCTAAGATTTAACTTTGATATATACAAGCTTTATAAAATCTGGTCTAAGAAAGATAATATGCTACATTAGTATTTTCTGGGTACAGAGCATATACTAGAATAAGAGTTGAAAAAGTCAGAAAGTTTCATTCATATGTTTGAGTTTCAACCTTTTTAGAAAGCAACTTGATGTTCTGTGAACTCTCTCCCCATAAAGTGTACACAAAAGCACACTCAGATTTTTGCATACAACTGGCAAGGAATCCAAGAACCCTGAATCTGAATATTTGAAAACCTTCATAAGAAAAAATTTAAATAAACACACCCAAAGTACAGTAGGAAGATATCTCACCCTAAATGGAAGCCAATACAATTAAATTCATGGCTTATCAATGTCAAATACTATTCAAGAAAAATAACATAAGGCTCCTGAGAAAACCACAATAAATGAAAACAATTTATCAAAAGACACTTGTTTTCACTTATCAATGTAAGTTTACTGACTCTAATTTAAATCTGCAAACTGATACTTTTTCCTGAAAATATAAAGTTTCCCAGAATCCTCATATAGTTTCAGCTGTGTGGCAGTCCCTAAATTATAAATTCATTTAGAATCACAAAATAGACCCAGTCAAAATTATAAACTCAAAAATTAAACAAACTTGGGCTGGGGTTGTGGCTCAGTGGTAGAGTGCTCGCCTAGCATGCATGAGGCACTGGGTTCGATCCTCAGCAGCACATAAAATAAAATATTGTGTCCACCTAAAACTAAAAATAAATATTAAAAAAGTTTTAAACAAACTCTGTCCTATTGTACTAAGAATAAATACTTAAGATTTACAATGAGAGCATCATACAGAGATTCAAAAAGTCTTACAAAAACAGGTTAGATAGTAATGAATATGAGGTACTCTAGAAAAATGTGCAAAATAATGCAATATAGTCTGTGTTTGAGTCCCCTACTCAAACTAATTCTTATGATATTTACAAAAGATTTTTAATACAATAATTTCATGAAATCTAAGAAATAATCTTGTATATAGAAAATCCTAACCGATTCTAATTAAAAACTATTAGAACTACCAAACGAGGTTAGCAAGGTTATACTATAGACATAAAAAAACAAAAACAAACAAAAAAAACTTTATTACTGTATTCCTATCTGGTAGCAATGACAAAACCAAGAATGAAATTTAAGAAAACGATTTCATTCATGGCAGCATCAAAAAGAATGAAATACTTAGGCAATCCTGTCTAAAACTTCAGTAAGGTTCACAGAAATTATAGCCAAGTTAAATTTGGCCAAATTAGGTAAAAAATACCTTTTGCACCTCTAGTTCTACTTATTTGGGAGGCAGGCCAGTCATTTGAGCCCAGGGAAGTTTCTGAACCAATCTGGGCAACCTAGTGAGCCAGTACTCAAAAGTAAAAATATAGCTGGGTGTGGTAGCACAGGCCTGTGATCCCAGCACAGAGGGAGGCTGAGGCAGGAAGATCATGAGTTCAAAGTCGGCTTCAGCAATTTAGTGAGGCCCTGAGCAACTCAGTGAGACCCTGTCTCTAAATAAAATACAAAAAAGGCTGGGGATGTTGCTCAGTGGTTAAGGGTCCCTGGGTTCAGTCCTTAGTACCAAAAAATAAATAAAAATTTTAAAAGGGCTGGGGAGGCAGCTTAGTGGGGCAGTACAGGCATGTGCCCAGCACATGCCAGGCCCTGTTTTCAGTCCCCAGTACTGCAAAAACAAAAAACAAACCTTTTCACCACATGCCTTCTGCAGCACACTAAAGCGATTCTGTCACATACCTTCACATTCTCTTGGACTCCCTCTGGTTTCTGCTTCATACTGGGATTCATCATACAGCTGGCAATGTGCAAGGGTCTAGTAAGTAAGAAACAGAGCATGGTTTGCACCTGAGATTGAGTACAGATTTTGTTTTTGTTGTTGCTAAAAATATTCATAATCATAAATTTTGAACTGATGGTGTCCTGGATTAAATAAGGAACTCAAAGATCTGAGAAATGGACCTCAGGAAAAGCAAAGCAGATACTTGGGTATGCCCAAGTCCACCCTAAAGGACAGCATCCCAACTTTGCTGTTGCAAAGCCAGTTAAGCTGTAACAAGCTGGGCACTGACAATCACTTAGTGGTGACAATATCAAAATGAGGACATTCACGTACGTTTATAGGCAATGATTAACCACCCCCCAGACCTGAAGGACTAACAAGCAAGGGAGCAGGAGGCAGAGGTACCTAACTCGGAGTCCCCAGCCGTGTCTGTTCCCCTCCAACAGTCCTCCCGCTTTTCGCGGTCATCCCTTTGCTCGGGGCGGTGGTCTCCGAACTCGACTACACTTCTTTACTACCGGGGCGCAGGAGAAAGACGGCTAACCGAGCGGTGCACTGCTACCGTCTGCCTAGCGGCCCCGGATGCTCAAATCATGCCGGGGGCCGGGGGCCGGGGGCCGAGCCCCGCGGCTAAGCGAGGGTGACTGCCACGGAACCCAAGTCACCTAGGTGCTTCTCGGCGAGACCTGGGATTCGGACAGCCGCGTCCCAGCGAGGCCCTAGGGTGCCTAGGGTGGCCAGCACCCACCCTCTGCTTCAGACTCGCCAGTGTGTAAAGTCATTAAACCCAGGACCGGGCAGGGTCCCCGGGTCACCGCGGCACAGGACTGCCAGGCCGTCGCCGCGGGCCCCCGTCTGCGACCCGCTCAGAGCAAGGCGACCCCGTCCCGCCCGGTGTCCGCCACCAGCTGCACCCGCCCCACCGGCCCCGGCCCCGGCCCCAGCCGGTCCCCCTCCAGCGCCCGCACCACCGACCCCACTAGCGGGTTCCAGCCGCGCCCCGCCCCACCGCGCCTGGACGGCGCCGCCAGCCAATGGGGAGCGCAGATGCGAGCGCGCCAAAACCGGCCCAGCCAATGGCAGTGCGCTCTCCCACCCCAGGCTGCCGAGCACGCCCCACAGCCCCAAGCCTCACGTTGGCCGCCCTCCGCCGTCGGAGGTGCCTCTGGTGGCGCGGCCTCAGGTGGCGCGAGCGGCAGCGGCTGTCAGGGGCGGCGCGGCGCAACTCGCGCCCTGTGGCCCTGCTCCCCTGCCCCCCAGGCCCTGCCCCCCTGCCCACACTCACCCGAAGGAAACGCTGTTTTCGCGGCAAGCGCAGGCAGGCGTGGCGGGGGCGCTTCTCACAAGGCGCGCGGGCTGAGGCGCCGGCCTCCGCCGGCAGCAGCGAGCGGCGCGCAGGAAGGAAAGGCCAGGCTTCTCGCTCACCCGCCACGAACGACACGTGATCCTGACGCAGGGCGGGGCGGGGCCTCGGCCGGCGAATCGCCTCGCCTCCGCCCGCCCCTACTGCGCCTGCGCGGGGTCCGGCCGCCTGCGCCGCGCTGGGCGGGGACGCAGGGGCTGGTTACAGGTTGCGGTCTGTTCCCTGCGACCTCCCCCCATCCTGCCCTCCAACCCTCCCTGCTGACCCTGCCCCTTGTCCTGCTTCCCAACACTGACCCCGACTTCTAGGACGCTGCAGTGCCACTCTCTCCTCCGACCCTGCCTGGACCCTCGGGGGGAAGGAGGTGGCCACTCTGCACCCCCGCCCTGTAAGAAGTGCTTCCTCCGCTGTGCACCTGCCGCGGGGCCTCCCAGCTCGCGCTGGGCTGGTTTTGGACGTGTTAAGATGTACAAGGTCTAATTATACGGTTCTCGCTTTATTTGGGAGAAATATGTAAAATCTAAATCCAAACCATCCATCGACTGGAAAACGCAGAAGGCGAGTTTTCTGGAATAAGAATTCTGATAACCGGTGGCGAGTGTAAGTAAGCCAGACAGTCAGAATAGTGACCTGACTTATAGTCTGTGCATTCATCCATATGTAGGGATCATTGCCAAAGAATGTAGGCAATGACTACATTGGAATAGGAATTGACTGATTTGGAACCCAAATGGATCATGCATAGCCCATCCCTTTGTGTTTTTTTTTTTTTTTTTTTTTTTTTTGTTTGTTTTGGTAGCAGGGATTGAACCCAGGAGCACTTTACCACTGAGCTGTGGTCCCAACCTGTTTTTATTATTTTGAGACAGGGTCTCACTAAATTGATAAGGCTGGCCTTCAACTTGAGGTCCTCCTGCCTCAGCCTCCTGAGTTATAGGCATATGCCACTGGGACCTCCCGTAGCCCCATCATTTTATAATATATATGAAAAGTTATTTTCAGATTGCCTGGACTGGAAAACATAAAGCAGAGTACATTGTGGTTTTTCCAGAACAACAACAACAAAATACTAAGAAAGAAAAATGTCTTCATATGAAAGTGCTGAGCAAACCAGAGATATAGAATCTAGAATTACTATAACTAAAGACTTAAAGTGGCACCAAGAAAATTGGTCCCTTCCCAGACTTAGGGGGCCTACCTATCCAAATGCTATTTGTAGTTGCTAGTCATATTGGTTTTGGACTGGTGATTTTTTTTCTTTATATGTTTCAGTATTTTAATTTTAATTTTTTTAAATTGAACATACTGAAGGAGACAGTGCCTACTTGGAGAAAAACCTGTGAATTCCCTAGAGTCTGTTAAAACCATTTCAAGTTTAGGTTAGATCCCTTCTAAATGATCAACTAGTTTATGTGACAAATTAACAGACCCATACCAATGCTGTCTAGTTAGGAAGCCATTAGCTACATATGGCTGTTGAATACTTGAAATGTGTCTAGACTTCATTGTAACATGTTGTAATGTAAAATTCATGCCGGATTTCAAAAGACTTACTAAAAGTGCTCAGTAGTAAAGCTCTTGCCCAGCATGCCCAAAGCCTCCTAACTTTGATATTTTTATACATTAGGTCAAATATAAGTCATTAAATTATTTTCATTTATTTGTTTTTCTTCTTTGTAATATGATTACCAGAATTTTTTTTTTTTCTAATTAGAAATGTGTCTCACATTTTTCCCTAGGGGACACAGCTGCTCTAAACCATCACACTGAGCACCAGCCTACTGGATGCTCTCAGCCTGTGTGGTAGATGTTTTACTTCCTTTTTTTACACAGCTAAAAGATGTGTGAAAAAGGAAGTAAAACAACTAGGAAATAGCCAACTGAGACTTTCCATCTTCAGGCTTAAAGTCCACAAGTGATGCAAAAATATTCCTCTCTGAAGAGACATACTGTCCTAGCCTCAAACTTCCAAACCATATTTCAAAACTCTTGGTTTCCTGTTGATTTTGAAGAACAAATTTAAAAGGAAAGTGATTTTGTAGGGGTCTGAAAAGAAGTTCCAAGTAGTTATGTGATCAGAATGTTTCTCTAGACTTCCAAATATACTGCAGTCTTATTTCTAGTAGAAAAACCAAAGGTATTGATAGGCATAATTTTATCCAGTGATATTAACTCATATATAATCCTGAAATTTAATACAGTCTTATGCTATACAAATTTTTTAAAATTCATGCATATTTTCCCATAATCTTGAGCTGCTTCTTGTCTTGCTCAATAGCATTTATAATTAGTTTGTGAAAAGAGGGAGGAAAGAAAATCAGGGTAATATATAACCGAAAAATAAACTCAAATCGTTTAGCATAGTATAAAGCAGAATGATAAATTGAATTGTTGGTGAAGAGCAACAGAACCAATTGAGGTGACTGGAGAGTAAATGTATCTTTTAAAAATGTGTTATTTATTGTAGCTAAACTAAATTCCCAAGGTTTTCAGCCAGATTGCTGGAAATTGCTTAACTATTAACATGATAATCTCTATTCTGAAAAGTGGAGAACAAATAACATTTCATTATTTTCTTATTCAAAGGCTCAGCAGGATAATTTGTAAAGCCATCCATCTTGCCCAATTTCTCAGCTCTGAGTTGTATTCAAATCATTTAACCTAGTTGTAAGTGTCCTATGATACTGCTGTGGTTGGGAAAATAAATAATAGCAGGAAAAAAGGTCTAAATTCCAACCCTATCAAAATTGGGGTTTATAGTTGTAGAGTAGCATTTTAATAGTAGTTAATATAAGTGAGTAATGTTGAAGATGATAAGTCAGCTAAAATAAAAGAGTAAACAGGATTATAAAGTACCAAGGAAATGAAAAATAAAATACATGATGGGGTATAATCCTTTGTGAACATAAACCTCTAACTGAAGCCATTAGTTCCTCTTCTCATTGTATTTTTGTTATTGTTTTGGGTTTTTTTGTTTGTTTGTTTACTGCTGGGGACTAAATCCAAGGCTTTGTGCCCCACTGAATCCCAGCCCCCATTGTATTTCTATTTTACATTGGTGTTTTCATTTTCAGGTTCTGAAATAGTGACAATTAACCCTGTGAAGTTCGTTATTTACCAAAGACATATTTCAGTTCCATAGCTGTCATTTTGTGTGAAAAAAAAAAAAAAAATGATGAAAGCCACACATCGTGATGCACGCCTGTAATCCCAGCTACTTGGGAGGCTGAGGCAGGAGGATCCCAGAATTGAGCCCAGCCTCATAGCTTAACAGGGCCCTGTCTCAAAATAAAATTTCAAAAAATGATCTGGGAAAATTACATACAAGAGGAAGTGAGGGGAAAGGGAAAAAAAATACAAGGGGGAGAAATGAATGACAGTAGAGGGGGCAGAGAGAGGGGAGGGGAGGGGAGGGGGGATAGTAGAGGATAGGAAAGGTAGCAGAACACAACAGACACTAGTATGGCAATATGTAAATCAATGGATGTGTAACTGATGTGATTCTGCAATCTGTATACGGGGTAAAAATGGGAGCTCATAACCCACTTGAATCAAAGTGTGAAATATGATATGTCAAGATCTATGTAATGTTTTGAAAAACCAACAATAAAAATTTTTAAAAAAAATGATCTGGGGATGTAGCTCAGTGATAGAATGCATACCTAACATGCCTGAAGCCCTGAGTTCAGTCCCCACTACTCCAAAAATAAAATAACAAGGTTGAGGCCAAGGAGACTTTTGAAAATCGTTCTCTATCTTGACTGCACTGGTGTTACAGACTACACAATTGCCAAAGTTCATTTACCTGTACACTTCAAACAGATTTTACCATGTGGAAGTTCTGCCTCGGTAAAGCTGGAAAATAAAGGAGCTGGGGATTCCTGCAAGGCCCTGGGAGGGTCTACAGGTGGAGCTGCCCACCTCTGGAGGCCAGAGGCAGCCTCAGCCAGCAAGTAGGTATGTCCCAGAGGGGAACAGGGCAGGGCTAAGGAACAACTCAAGTGGCTTAGAGCTTGAGAAAAGTCAACAGCGTGGGCACCAGGGAGCTGAAAGCCGCCTCCTCAAAGCCAACCGAGTTAACCCTGTGCTAGCATCTGTGTCTTCTGGGAATCGTTTCACGAACGCTGTTTCACTTTAACCAGCACAGAAACTCTGCTAAGCCAGCCGCGATCACAGTCTCTGTTTTCCTAGACAACCTGGCTGATAGCCTGGTGCCAGTTACCAGTGACTGCCTCTCAGCCCCGAATTTGCTGTCAAGGTCCAGAGGGAGGGTTTCCCAGGCGCTCTGCACATTCAGACCACAGGGACTTCACCACTGTCTCACCTGCTCAGTGATGTCCGGATCTTGTGTTGGGGAGAAAGAAACTCTTTGGCCTATCTCAGAACCCAAGAAAGTAAAAAACAAAAACTAAGGAACGTAACATAAAGAACAGCCAGTGCTCCTGCCCCTGGAGTACGGCATCCAGGGAAGACACGACTACCAGTTAAGATCCAGACCTTGTTGGAGAAGGGGCCCAGCAGTGCCACAAAAGTACCCCTGTACTCTGAGACGGGGCTGTGGCTCAGCGGCAGAGCACTTTGCCTGGCATGTGTGAGGCACTGGGTTCGATCCTTAGTACCAAATAAAAATAAAGTGAGGGCATTCTGTCCATCTACAACTATAAATATATATAATATGTGTGTGTATGTGTATATATATATATATATTTTTTTAAATGAAAGTACCCCTATACTTCACCCATGGAACTTGCAGAAGTCCACCCTCCAGGGTACAGGGAAGCCCTTGATTTGGAGGTGTCTCCCTAGAGGTATTCCAGGACAAATCTCCTGGACGGGAGAGTGCAGGCCACCTCCAGCTGCTGCAGGTGGGAACCTGGTGCTGGAATGCAGCACCATCACCCCACCCGCAGAACCCACAGGCAAACCCTCTCCTCCTGCACGTCTCCCCTGGAGGCCAGCAGCAAAGAGGAAAGGTTTAGACCTGCCTCAAAGTGCAGGCAAAAAGGATGAATTTGGAGCTGA